TCATTCTCTTGAAGTCTGTCTGTAAGATGTTTCAGTGTCAGTTCTATTCAAAAACAAAAGAAGGACGTCAAAGCTAACTACCAGCTTCCCAGTTAGATGGCACAACAAGGTTGGGACATATCAAAAGAGAGTAAAACATGAAGGACCAATGAAAATCAGTGGAATAATCAGATGGTTGTGAGGGAGAAGCAAGGTTCACAAGAAGGGAACAGAAACACCAAACAGTAATACGAGGTAAAACATGTGGGTCATCAAGATCAGAGGATTGAAAGTTAATCGGAAATCATGACAAGTCAAAGCAAGTCCAAAGAAGCAAGTCAGAGCAAAGTCGAAAGCGGGAGCATGGCCAACAAGGATGCCAGCAGCTAACCACCATTTTACATTAACAAATTTTTCTTTGATTGGAACAGGGGCAGATATTTTCGTTGTCTTGTATGTTTGTCACAAGCAGGGAGTACTGTCCAAGGTAGCAAGCAGGAGCCCACCTGGAGAACAAGGGAATACTCTTCAAGCTTCAACAGTCAGGAGCCCACCTGGAGAACAAGGGAATGTTTCAAATTTCAGCAGTCAGGAGCCCACCTGGAGAACAAGGGAATATTTCAAATTTCAGCAATAAGGCGCCCACCTGGAGAACAAGGGAAGTACAATTCAATTTTAGCTTTTAATTTTTGATATTTGATAACATGCTACACCCAGTCACCAAACTGGGGTAGAAAATTTTCTTTGTTGTTTATTTTGTTGCAGTCAGGAGCCCACCTGGAGAACAAGGGAATACTTTTCAAGCTTCAGCAATCAGGAGCCCACCTGGAGAACAAGGGAATACTTTTTCAAGTTCAGCGGTCAGGAGCCCACCTGGAGAACAAGGGAATATTTCAAATTTCAGCAATAAGGCGCCCACCTGGAGAACAAGGGAAGTACAATTTAAATTTTAGCTTTTAATATTTGATAACATGCCACACCCAGTCACCAAACTGGGGTAGAAAATTTTCTTTGTTGTTTGTTTTGTTGCAGTCAGGAGCCCACCTGGAGAACAAGGGAATACTTTTCAAGCTTCAGCAATCAGGAGCCCACCTGGAGAACAAGGGAATACTTTTTCAAGTTCAGCGGTCAGGAGCCCACCTGGAGAACAAGGGAAGTACAATTCCAATTTTAACTTTTAATATTTGATAACATGTTGTACCCAGTCACCAAACTGGGGCAGAAAATTTTCTTTGTTTGTTTACCATTTTTTCAGGGAGTTTAACTTTACTTATGGATTCAATTTTATAGAAATTCAATAAGTTCATTTAATTTTGTGTTCGTTGCCCAAAAATTATTTATTACATAAAAGTTATTCAACTTTGTGTTCATTACTCAAAATTCACTTTTTTTTCTTCTTTTTGTTACACAAAAATGATTTTACTATGCTCTAATTATCACAATAGTCTTTGATCAAATTTTATAAAAGTTTCACTTGAAAAGTCTATTATGCCCTTGACATTATAAATCCGGATCTTATTTATTTAATATTTTCTATGTTATATACTATATAATATATTTTTATCTACGTATTTTACTTATAATTAAATAAAATTTATATTATTTTATTTATTACTTTTGTAATATATTCGCACATTTAATTATTTCTTAACAATAATTTCAATATATATATAGGTAGTATTATCAAATTTGTCAGTAATATTACTGTGAACAAATCTCAAGTTAATGTCCTTAACTATGCCTAATGAAACGTTTTTAATGAAAATTATAAAATCAAACCTCACAGATTTATCATTCAAGCCATATTCATTAACCTAATAAACAAAATACCCACATGTAGAACACTGACACATCAGATTAATACTTTCAAGATATAATATTAGCAGACAAAGCTGTAAAAAACTTAATATTAAACACAAATGTCTTTGAAATTTTTTTAATAGTTTTACTGACTATAAAAAATCATTTGTTAAACAAATCTATTTTTGTTATTTAAATAAATACTAAAAATAAATAATTTTTCATCGTTTTTATATTTTAAAATATGTCCCCGTTTGAATATGATTAAACAAATTGAGTGCCATGGGAAAATTAAATGTGCTGATATATTAAAAAAAATAATAATAAGCAAAATAATATAAAGTTATTTTAATTATAAAATAAAATACCTAGGTAACAATATATATAAGTATTACATAAATAGGAAAATTCATAATGTCTAGGGCATAATAGACATTTTAAGTAAAACTATTATTAAATTTGACCAAAGTGATTATTGTGATAACTAGAGTAAAATAAAATAATTTTTGTATAACAAAGAAAGAAAAGTGACTTTGGATAATGAACACAAATTTGAATGACTTTTACTTTAAAAAAAAGTTATTTTTGGAAAATGAACACAAAATTTACTCTATAAAATAACTGTATAAACAACTTTTAGAAGACTTAGAATAAAATAGCTAGACTTGTAATTGTGAGAGAAGATGTGAGACTTGAAAATTTGCTTGTTTTCACTTATTGCTTAGTTGCTTCCGCTCAACTACATAAGGCAGATTCAGAATTGTTATTCTATGGGTTCAAGATTTCGGTTTCAACTACTGAACCCATCGTCTTGTTTGAGTTATGGGTTTATAATTTCAAAATTTTCAACAATTTTAGCGGATTTTATATAGAAAATTCAAGTTTATGATAAAAGTTGTGGGTTCAATTTAACCCATAGTGAAGCTATTGGATCTGCCCTTGCTCAGCTGGATTCATATTTTAGTCGCCGGCAACTGACATTTCATAAGAGCATAAAGTACTCAGTCATTAAGAACCACAAGTTTCAGATGCTTTGAAGATATGAAGATTCTGAGATTTGCGCCTCCTAGTCAGAATCTGAATGCGAAAACAAGGATGAGTTTGCTGTTTGTCTATAGAAACAAGGGTGGATTCGCGAATTAATCAAGAGAAAAGAAGAGAAAAAGGAGTTACTATTATCGTGAAAATGTGCTTCAAATTAAATCAACATGGGCTAAATCGGATAAGATCTGAAAATATGGAACCATTTTGGTTATAAGCTTGGGCCAATGATACATAGTGTAAAAATCTCTATAATATATATGGTTGGTTTGATTTTCTATGAGCAGTATTGTGTAGAAGTTGCTAAATATATCAATATATGTTATATTTCATTTGACAGGCACAATACCTTATGAGATTGGCCATCTTTACAACTTGGAGCTTTTAGCCATGGATTACAATAAGTTAACAGGCTCAGTCCCTAATATGATTAGCCGTCTTCATAAATTGGAATATTTAAGCATGGAAAGAAACAAATTAACAGGCTCAATCCCTTTAAGCATACTCAACATTTCATCACTTCAATATTTATCAATCGGGGAAAACAAACTTGAAGGACCTTTACCAAGAGAAGTTGGAAATTTAAGTATGCTTCAAGTACTTGATTTTTCAATGAATAACCTGACAGGTATGGAAAAATAACTAATTCATTGTCATTTTAGAGTTTCAATTTTTCAGATACTTCTACCGATGCTAATCTTACTGAATTTTGCAGGTGTAATTCCAGATGGAATCAGTAACCTTCAAGAGTTGGAGGACCTCTCATTGTCTTACAATAATTTCAAAGGGTCAATCCCAATTGGTATCTTCAATATCTCCTTTCTTATATATCTTCAGCTCGCAGGTAACCACATTTCAGCTAATCTTCCTTCCACTATAGGCCATGGCTTACCTAATGTTGAAGGAATTCATCTATCTGGAAACAACATTAATGGTGTTTTACCTAGTTCAATCTCAAATATGTCTAAGCTTATGTATCTCGAACTCTATCGAAATGAACTTACAGGTTCAATTCCTGAATCTCTAGGAAATTTAAGACTTCTGGAAGTTCTTGGCTTATCCAGTAACTCCTTCAACAGTGAATTAAGCTTTATTACTCCTTTGGCCAATTGTAAATACTTGAGAAAATTGATATTGTCTTCCAATCCCCTAAATGCAATGCTTCCAAAATCCATCGGCAACCTTTCTTCTCTTGAAATGTTTTTGGCGACAGGATGTAACCTCAAGGGCTATATTCCAAATGAAGTCGGAAATTTGAGAAATTTATCTTCTTTGGAGCTGGAAGATAATGACTTTAATGGAATTGTCCCGATGACAATAAGCTCATTGAAAAACCTTCAACGGCTTTCACTTGGTGCAAATAGAATAAGTGGTCCCTTTCCAATTGCTTTATGTGAGCTATCCAACTTGGCTTTGTTAAACCTTTCACAAAATCAAATGTGGGGAAGTCTTCCTAGTTGCTTGGGGGATGTGACTTCTCTAAGGGAGGTTTCTCTTGATTCAAATAACTTCATTGCCATAATACCTTCAAGTCTATGGACTCTCAAAGACATTTTAAAGTTGAACTTGTCTTCTAATTTCTTCAATGGCTCTTTACCACTTGAAGTTGGAAACCTCAAGGCTGCAATACTTTTGGATCTTTCCTGGAACCAAATCTTAGGAAACATTCCTAGTACATTAGGAAGTCTACAGAAATTGACTCATCTGTTTTTGGCTCATAACAGAATTGAAGGATCTATTCCTGAGGCATTTGGAGGGCTCAAATCTTTAGAAGTATTGGATCTTTTGTATAACAATTTGTCTGGTGTGATCCCAAAATCATTAGAGGCACTTAAGTATCTTCACTCTTTTAATGTCTCATTTAACAGGTTACACGGAGAAATTCCGAATGAAGGACCTTTTGTTCATCTCCCTTACCAGTCTTTCATGTCGAATGAAGGATTGTGTGGTAACTCTCAAAATCATGTCCCAATTTGTCCTTCAAATTCAAAGGATCGTTCAAAGTCAAAGAAAGAAAGACTGATATGGGTTGTCGTTGCATCTTCAGTTTTCTCTGTAATAGGGCTTGCTTCAGCAATAGTCTTTTTGATGATGAGACGTCGGGGTAAAACAACCAATATCGAAGATGACTGGTTGCCTGAGGTAGCACCACAAAGAATTTCTTACTATGAACTTCAAAGAGCAACTCAGGGTTTTGATGGAAATAATTTGCTAGGTAGTGGAAGTTTTGGTTCTGTTTACAAAGGAACTTTGGCAGATGGGATGATAGTAGCGGTTAAAGTTTTCAATGTGCAGATGGAAGGTACATTTCAAACTTTTGATAGAGAATGTGATATCTTGCGGAATCTTCGTCACAAAAATCTCACCAAGATTATTACCAGCTGTTGTAACTTGGATTTTAAAGCATTGATACTTGAATACATGCCAAATGAGAGCTTAGACAAGTTGCTATATTCTCGAGATTATTGTTTAAATATAATGCAAAGATTGAATATCATGGTCGATGTTGCATCTGCTCTGGAATATCTCCATCATGGTTACTCTGTTCCGGTTATTCATTGTGATCTGAAGCCTAGCAACGTGTTACTAGACAACGACATGGTGGGACACCTGACTGACTTTGGCATAGCAAAACTTTTAACTAAGGAAGAATCCATTGCTCATACTACAACCTTTGCCACAATTGGTTACATTGCTCCAGGTGAATACCTTATTTAACTTGTAACAGTATTATGGATTAGTGCATATTAAGTTTATTTGCTAACGTATTTTAAGTTATGTTTTTTAGAGTATGGTATGGAAGGCCTTGTATCCAAGAGGCTGATGTTTATAGTTATGGCATCATGTTGCTGGAAACTTTACAAAGAAGAAACCTAATGATGAAATGTTCGTGCGAGACATGAATTTGAGAAGTTGTGTGAATAATTTGCTTCCTGATGAGTTGGATCAAATTATAGATGCTGACTTACTAACAGTAGATGAAGAGAACTTAAGCCGAAAGATGCAATGTGTGGCATCCATCATGGAGTTAGCCATGAATTGCACACCTAATATTCCAGTGGAAAGGATGAACATGATTGATGTTGTAGCAGCACTGAAAAAGATCAAACAAAAGCTTTCTTCCTGTTATTGAACGACCCAGCGCCATGACATCGGGTACGTTCCATATCCCTTTTCGAAGAAAAAAGAAGTAGCCAGCTGTATATTTCATTATGTACCATTTAACTATTAGTAGTTGTTCCTCCATTTCAAATACACTCATATTCATTGTCTACGAGTTTATGTTTAACCTGTTTACGTGGAGGAGTTGTCGAAGACATTACTATGGAGAGACGGAATGGTAAAGTTCAAGAAATGGTATGTTATGATCTGAATATTAATCAAGTACTATGGTTTTCTCTGTGTGCAGGAAATATGGTTTCTTGTCAAAGTTGCGCTGATGATTTGCGCAATATCTTGTGGGGTTAATCTCCTTATGTTATGAATAATATTCTCATATGGAGCCACCTCCGAGTATTTCCTTTATTTATTGTAAAGGCTGTCTTTTTAGCTTTTCCCTGTTTCATTAGAAGAGGACTTTTGGTTTTGTTCTCTTGTGTACTTGGTTGCTGCCAATTTCCAGCTCTTGTAATGTGATCTATGTATTTTGAGTTGTACATTCCACTGCTTCTTGTGGGAATTTTGTAACAATATGAATTAATGGATATGCCCTGCATCAAGATGTCTCGTCTGCGTATTGATTCAATGTTTGCCATTTTACTCCTATTTGTCATACTGCAGAAAAGTATCATAACTTTTTTTTTGCAAATGAACTCTTTCATTGGTGTTAAAGTATTTAATGTATTTGCTTGCTTTAGAACATATTGCTGACGGCCTTAAACTGTCATTGGCATTTCTTGCTACAGAAAATTTATCAATTAAGTGCTCCATATATAGAAACCAATGAAAGATTGAATATGCTCTGGGGTTGTAGTTTATTTACTATAATCGTTTGCCTTATGGGTTTTCCTTCCACATATTTACCATAGTTGTTAGCCTTACGATTCACATGAATATAAAAGGTGCTTCTTTTTTTCCATCAATATAAAAGTTGCTAGAAATGAATCAATTTTTCTTATGAGCACATAAGCTCTGGGCCTTCTCTTCATGTCGAGTGTAGTTGCTTGCTCCCTACTACCAGTTACAGAGTCTGAGATCCCACGTTCTTTAATTTTACAATTTTGATTTTCCATCTTTAAGAGCATTTAGTTCAGATTTGTATATTCTTTGAATGTGCATTAGTTATCCAAGCGGTTATATATGAGTGCTCGTCTGCTGTATATTTTATTACTATATGGTTTGCTCTTTGCTCAACTTTATCAAACTATATATGAGGTTACTTGTCAGTTTACTGTCTAAAACCAGTAGCATTAATCTCTACATCAGATATGTTTACAAACATTTATAATCACCTAGATTTTACTCCTGTTAGAATTATGAGGAATTGTGAGGAAGATGATGAGAAACTTGGCTCTTTTGTTTCCTTAGGCCACCTGACAATGAGCCGACACAATTGGAAGAGGATATGAAAATGATCCATATCATTTGATGTGCAAGTGCAGCAGCACTAAGACATCATTAACATATCATATTTCAATGAACTTCTCTTTGAGTAATCAATGTTGAATTTCAGTGCCAAATCCATTCCCTTCCCCCCTCATATATCACCTTAGACCAAGTTGAGCTTTAATCCGGATATACACAGAGTGCTATACTTCATTACTCTCTTATTGCACTCGCCTGATAAATATAAGTTGACTACGTACTATCATATATGGGACTCATTTGGCTAGCGTTTGGCCATAGATCCCAAATTTATTTTGAAAAATCTGATTTGGGTGAAGTTTGGTTTGAAGATGAAAATGTGTTTGGACATACGATTTCAAAACATATTTTTCAACTTTATTTTGGGAAAACATGTATATAATTCCCAAGTTTTGGAAATTTGGCCCATTTGAGATTTCAAATATGTGATTTGAGTTTTGGCCAAAATGTGGGTCAAATTTATGGCCAAACATGGGATTTGAAAATAAATTTCAAATTAAATTTGGGAAAATGTATGGCCAAACAGGGGCTTGGTGTTTCTTTTCCATTTGTTTTAATCTTTGAGATGATAACTACAGGAAGTTCCTTCCAACAATGAATTTGAGAAGCAGATAAAACCAGAGTTTATTACTCCATAATTATTTTCAAATGGGCAGATAAAGTGAATTGGGCAGCAAGGCATGAAAGGAAGTGGAAGAAGCGAAGAAATTGCTCTTTGTCCAAAGAGTAGTTAAATTTGCTTGAATTGCAACGAGTTATTTGACTTTTTTCTTTTTTAACTACTTGTAAAGACTACAATTATTCTATTTTATTTTAGTTGTAAAGATTACAAATTTTCTGTTTTATTCAACAAGTCGTTACTCGTATCACAATGCAAATCAGGTGCTTAATTTTCATAGCAGGAGATGGCCGGCGTGAAGGTGATCAGTGTCCAGTGACCTTGGTTGGTAGTGGAAGTTGAGTGAAGGCTCATGGTTATAATTGTGTGATGGTAATATTAGAGCTTGGGTCGTTTGGTACAATGGTGGGATATTTCATGAGATTAATTATTTCACCTTCTACATGGGATAGTTAATCCCATCATTTTAGTATAAAAATTATTTCGGAATTAGCTAATACCCCAAACCAAATATGGAATAAAGTTAATGCCAAACTTTATCTCGAGACTATTATTTTTATCCCATTTACCAAACAATCCCTTAAGTGAACTAGGTTTTAATTAGGGGTGTTCATAAAAACCCGAAAAATCGAACCAAGCCTAAAACCAAACCAAACCAACCAAAAAACCCGATACTTTTTGGTTTGGTTTGGTTTTGGTTTTGAATTTTAAAAACCGATCAATTTGGTTTAGTTTTGATTTTTATAAAAAAATAATCGGAAAAAACCAAATCAAACCGACTATAGAAGTAGTTATTTCAAATTTATTATTACACCTATATATATATATATATATATATATATATATATGTATGTATGTATGTATGTATGTATGTATGTATATTTTTGAACAAAGTTTCTAAAATTTTATGGTACATGTTAATCATTTGTATTTTTAGCACAGTTCTTTGCCTTATATTCTAGTTTGATTGGTATTTTTCTTTTGTCATCTCATGTTAAAAATAATCTATTTTTAATTGAGTCCTTAAATTATTTACCACTATTTGATTCAATTATCATCAATATATCTTGGTAAATGATAGATTTCTCAAAGGACAATTAATTTGATAGTGTTACATTGAAAATGTAATCGTCGAAATATGTGTTTGGTAGTGTATGTCTCATATTTAAGTAAAAACCGATAAATAACCGACAAAATCGAATAACCGACAAAATCGAATAACCGACAAACCCGACATAAACCGAATCGATTAAAAATTGACTTAATTGATTTAGTTTGGTTCTAATATTTAAAAAACTGACTTACTGGTTTGGTTTCTTTTTAGGGAAAAATCCCCCGAATCATGAACATCCCCAGTTTTAATCATTAAATTCTTTTAAACAAGAATTAAGTGAGTCCGACATATTAAAAGTAAATAAATAATTGTAAAAGAAAAAATTAAATATATTTATATGAATAACTCAAATAATCCATTAAAACAAAGAGAAGTAGGGGTGTAGGAGAATAAAGAAAAAGTATTTGAGGAGTAGGCCATTAGGCTGAACATTAGTGTGTCGGGATCTAGTTTTGCGAGTCAAATTTGGCTTTCCAGTCCACCTCCAATGACCCCACTACTCATCTTTTTCTTCTCTAAAATATCACAAATTAATTGAGAAAATTCGCAATTGCTTAGAACTCTAGGGGCTAAAACCAAAATTACAAAAAATAGGTGAGAGACAGAAAGAAAAATGAGGAAGAAAAGGAATAGCTGGATTCACATGGCTGTTTTACTTATGGGTCCTTTTTCTCTCTCCTCTCTCTCTCTCTCTCTACACCTAACCGACAATTATGATGTTTGAACCTTAAACAAAGCAGAAAAAACTCAAGAAATTTTTTTTTTCTTTTTCCTCCTCCAATTTTCCTTTGAATTTGAGCTGGAGAAATTATGGCTGATGATAAGGTATGGATTTTGCTTTGTGGCTTTTTCTTGTTTACAGAAAAAGTTCATATCTTTACTTGTTACAGCTGTTTTCATTTTGGGAAACAATACTGTGTATTATTGGAGATCTCTTGATTCTTGGAAATCAGTATGTATTATGTGAAGATCTTTTCTTTTAGCCAATCTGAATTCAGGTAGTAGCATTAGCAATTCTTTTTCCTTTTTATTTATTTTTTTATTTTTGTTGAGTGCAAATCTGGGTTTAGTTTTGGTTTCTACTTGAGAAAGGTTCTGGGATTTTAGAAGTAAGATAATGGTTCTTTGTTGCATGCTCTTGTTCATCTTATTCTGAAATAAAGGAAATCTTTTGTCTAGTATCCCTGGACCTTAAAATTAATACTTTAGACCCTTTTAGTCTCAGTTGCAAATATTTGATTTTTTCATGTTCAGGATGCTTTATTTGTTCAGGATCTGGTCTTGTTCTTTAATTTTATCCTGATGGGCATTTTGTTTTTGGAGAATTTTTCTGTGACAGTAAATGTATTTGATCTATTTGGATGTGTTGGTATAGATCTGATCTTAGATGAGTTTATATGGATTAACATGGTTCATATAGCCAACTCCAATTTGCTTGGGACTGAGACGTAGTAGTTGTTGTTCTTGTTGGTATAGATCTGATTTTAGCTCTCTATAGATCTGTTGCTATTAGGTATTTGATCGAACCTTCCGATTTCACTTAGCTTATGTCTTTTTTCCTTATCAGATACTTGAGTTTTGATCTTACAAAATATATCTAGTGAAAAGAATATCTGTTAACAGTTGCCAAGCATTTTTTGATAGTGCTTCTGAATGATACTAAGTTTGTTTGCTTCTTTTTGCCCCCAGGATAGAGTTTCGTTGGGTTGTAGTCTTCCCTTTTTTTCGTTTAATATGTTGTGTCTTAGTTATTGAAAATGCTGGTCTGAGATATCTTTGATGTGTAATGTAGGAGATGTCTGCTCCTGTTATGGATGGGAATGATGCAGTCACTGGTCATATAATTTCCACAACCATTGGGGGCAAGAATGGCGAGCCAAAGCAGGTAGAAGAGATGTCTTTATCAGAATCATAATTTATTTGTTAGACATAGTTCTTGTTTTTTTTGATATGTAATGCTTCTTCACCAGAAAAATGATCAAATTAATTCTGGCATTACACACTATATAAATGATGGATGCGAATAATTTACCCTTCTTATTTTTTATTCCATATTTGCATTTTTCATATCCAATCATGAGCATGTGTAAGCTGATTTCTTACACGAAATTGAAAATCTGTTTGACTTGCGTTATTATTTGGAGCAGACAGTCAGTTACATGGCTGAACGTGTTGTGGGGACCGGATCATTTGGAGTTGTCTTTCAAGTAAGTGAATATGTATCTTCTAGTTTTGTTAATCCTTTTATTTTTTTACTTTTTGTTTGAATGATGCTTCTCTTGTGAAGGCAAAATGTCTGGAAAATGGGGAGACTGTGGCTATAAAGAAGGTTCTGCAAGACCGTAGATACAAGAATCGTGAGCTGCAGCTTATGCGCACTTTGGATCACCCAAATGTTGTTTGCCTAAAGCATTGCTTCTATTCAACT